AGGAGTTGGAGGTTGCTGTGAGCTGTAATGCCACGGCACTCTGCCCAGGGGGACAGCTTGAGGCTCTGTCTCAAAAAAAAAAAAAAAAAAAATTAAAATTAAAAAATGAAGAAGTTCTGGGCAGCACCTGTGGCTCAAAGGAGTAGGGCCCTGGCCCCATATGCTGGAGGTGGTGGGTTTGAACCCAGCCCTAGCCAAAAACTGCAAAAAGAAAAATGAAGAGGTTCTGCCCTTTCTGTCTCTCCTGTCTTACTAAGGCTAGAAAGAGAACCGAGACAGGGAAGGAACAGTGAGAGCAGTAAATAGTTTGGGCTCAGGTTTGTCACAGCCAGTGATTCTTCAGCCTTCCTGCTTCCATCTCTTCCTTACCTTTACACCACTGTGAAGTGAACTAAGGGGATTACCAATAGAGGTTCACTTGGGGACATTCTGCCTGCTTATATCGTTAAAATCATAAGTGGAAAGGAAAGAATCCTTACATGAGAACTTGAGGTGTTGGGCTGAAGACCTGTAGCACATTGACTCCTGTGTCAGAGATAGAGTGCATGTCTACCTGTGATGCCCAGAGGAGAAATGCCCATCGAGACTCTTTCCCCTTCTCCCATAGTCACTTTCTATTTGGCTAATTTTTTTTTTCAGACAGTTTCACCCTGTTGCCATAGGCTAGAGTACCAAGGTGTTAGCCTACCTCACAGCAGCCTCAAACTCCTCAGCTCAAGTGATGCCTCCCCAGTAGCTGGGACTGCAGACACCCACCACATCTAGTTTTTCTATTTTAGTACAAACGGAGTCTTGCTCTGGTTCAGGCTGGTCTTGAACTCCTGAGCTCAAGGGATCCTCCCACCTTGGGCCTCCCAGAGTGCCAGGATTACAGCCTCTACTTGGCTAATTCAAACAAACAAAGGAACAAAAATCTTCAGTCTAAATAATGAAGTGGCTCATATTGGCATATACTTTGTATTCTACAAGTTACTATCCCCCGAACCTCATAGTAAGCCTGTAAGCTAAGTGGTATTATCCCCAGTACAGGTGAGAAAACTAAACCAGAAAAATCAGATGCCTCTTCCAAGGGCACAGAGCCATTAAATAACAAAACCCAGCCTAGGTAGAACCAAGGCCTCCGGAGTCAGTCCCATCCTAGTTTGATTCTGGATGTTCTGTTTCCTCCACTCATTCATTCAACCAACATTTAAGGAGTGTCTTCTGTAACCAAGACACTGAAGACACAGCAGACAGAAAAGCAGACCTGGAACCAGCCCTCATGGAGAGCAGAGGGAGGACGATAAACAGTAAAACCATACAGCCTCAGTGTTAATTGTTAATCTTAAAACATATGTACTTGCCCTTGGTATTTCACAAGCACCGAAAGAGCTGGGTTAACAAAACATACCCCACAATTCCAGATACTTCAACACAATTCAGCCTCCCCTCTTATCCTGCTAGAATTTTACTGACTCAAGTCCCTGGGTATAGGGGACCCCTCACCTGATGTCCAAATTGGTTGCAAGGGAAGCCAAGAACCACCAGGCGCCTGGGAAAGCGGCATTGCAGCTCATTGAGCTGAGTGAAGTCCCGGGTGGTCGTGCCTCAGAGGGAGGCCACATTCTCAATCAGTACTGCCCTGCCTCGGAAGGTATTGAAATCTACCTTCTCGCCATCCAGGCTGATGGCACTAAGGTCGTAGAAGGACTTGGCGATGTAAGCCATAGCTAAGCTCAGAGTGAGCCCTGCAGGGCTGCTCAGCCCACTTAGAAGCCTGTCAAAGCAGGGTGGGGAGGAAGGAGGAGCCAGGGACAGAAAGGATCTAACAATGGGGCTTTGATTATCCCCAGGATGACTTAGCAAAAACAGGCTCTCACCTGTAAGGGCCCTTGGAACAAGGAGGTTTATAGAGGCTGAACAAAACCACCTCCCCGCCCCACCTGCTGGCAACCTGGGAAGGGCCAATTTGGTATTTATGAACAGATGTGAATAATTCACTACTTGCAGGAAACCAGAGCCCTAAAGGTTGAGTGGGGAGGGAAAAAAAGGAGGGAGGGATGCAGGATTGACTCCGACGTGCCTCAGCAAATTGTTCCTGTTGCGCACAGACATTTGTTGAATCCCCTTGAGTGCCAGTCTCTGGATTGTACAGCTAGAGGTCAGGGGCTGCTGAGGTCTGAAACATGGGGACAATCAGGACTTGGTGTCCACCTGCCTCAGAGACTACAACTGCAATAATACATGTATGTCTGGATTGCTCTCTGCGACTGCTGCTTTCCACAAACAAAAAATTAAAGGGCCCCTTAGGAAGTGTGTCATTTTCTTTCTTTTTTTTGCAGTTTTTGGCTGGGGCTGGATTTGAACCCGCCACCTCCAGCATATGGGGCCTGTGCCTTACTCCTTTGAGCCACAAGCGCTGCCCAGGAAGTGTGTCATTTTCTAAAAAAAAAAGTGATTTCAGTGCCTTTGGTTACACCAGGCTGAGGAGATGAAGTTGTTTGTCTTGAAATCTTTCAGTGAGTGGTGTTACTTGTCCTGGAGTACACACCTGCTCTGGCCCCTGCACTCACTATGTCTCCTAATCATAACCCCCCACCTCCACCTCATCCCCAAAGCCATGATACAGGCCTCGTGCACAGAAAAGGTGGTCAATGTGCACTGGGTGAACTGCACCTTCCTCCCTCTCAGACAAAGAGCCTGTCCCCAAGACTTCACAGAGGGGGCTTATGCGGGTCATCTCCCCAGGGGAGGGAGTCAGAGCTGTGTTGGTTCTGGGCCCAGGTGGATGGCCATTCTCCATGTCCTCAACACCAACTGTGCAACGTTTTACAAGGCATCTTCTGAGGGCTATGTGGGTGCCCACCCCCAGAAGCCCACAGAAACTAAAATGACCCTAATGCCACTTTGTTCCTCCAAGCACCCACCAGCTCAGCTTGGCACTTTTTGTTTTGAGACAGTCTTACTTTGTTGTCCTCGGTAGAGTGCTGTGGCGTCACAGCTTATAGCAACGTCAAACTCTTGGGCTCAAATGATTCTCTTGCCTCTGCCTCCCAGGTAGCTGGGAGGCACAACACCTGGCTATTTTTTTTTAGACAAGGTCTTGCTCTGGCTCAGGTTGGTCTCAAATTCATGAACTCAGGCAATCCACCTGCCCCGGCCTCCCAGAGTGCTAGGGTTACAAGTGTGAGCCACTGCACCCAGCCGCCACTTTTTTTTAATGCCTTGATTTCTCCATCAGTAAAAACTAGCAATAATTAGGCTTTATATGGCTTTGGGATTTTTGAGAGTGAAATTTCGACACAAATCTAATACTAAAGGGTGTTTTCACAGGTGCACACCCATTGGGAACTGTCTCCTTGAACAAAGAATAAGCAGAGCTGGGGAGCAGGTGGCCTTGAGAATCTGATTTGTTGCAGAAATGGAGGAACTACTCACCAGGGAACACCTAGCTTTTCTGCCTTGTACCTTGTTCCATATCTAAGAACACAGGGACCATACATCTCACCTGGCTGCTTCCTAGAAACAAGTACCCATTAAGTGGGTAAAAGAGGTGATAGGAAGTGTGCAGTTTGTCCCCTGCTGAGGCTGGGTGGGGTTCCCTGAAGCAGCCAATAAATATTCCTAACAAGCTACGGAGTCACACAGAAGGACAAGCTAAGTCACACAGGCACTGATGGGGTGGGGAGGAACTTAACTGCATGCCCTGAGCTTCCCCATAGTGCTCTCTGGGCTTCCAGAGACACCTCTTCTCCTTTGCAAGCCCTCTTCAGAAGGCCTGAGCCCACAGTGGGGCAGAGGGCGATCCCTCTTGCAAGTGCAACCTTAGATCCTTCTGAGTCTCCCAGGGTTCTCAGGCTTCACAATGGAATAACACTGTCGAGGCCTCCCCAAAACACCTTTGTCTCCAACTTTACCTCAAATGTGCCCCTTTTCCAGAAGATTGTGAGTTTAGGCATGGACTTACAGGCATGGGATTCTCACTCGTCCTCATAGTGCTTGGTAAGTACAAAGCCTGTACACTGCCCAGCCTGTACTCCTTCATTCCATCCTTACCCCCAAACATTCTCTGCCTCCTCTATCAACTGTACAGCCCTGAGATTCCAGTCTGTCTGTGCTCCCCTGAGGGATTTAACCACACATCTGAAAGATTATCCAATCCCTCTTCATGCCTTCAGGAAGACCTGTTCCATCCCAAACAAATGAGAACCATCCGGGCTTTAAAAACTCCCTCAGGCGGTGGCTCACGCTAATCCTAGCACTCTGGGAGGCTAAAGCAGGAGGATCACTTGAGGCCAGGAGTTCAAGACCAGGCTGCCAACATAGTGAGACCCCCTCCATCTCTCTAAAAAAAAAGTAATTAGCCAGGAATGCTGCTGTATACCTGTCACCCTAGCTGCTGGGAAGACTGAGGTGGGAAAACTGCTGAAGCCCAAGTTCAAAGCTGCGCTGAGCTATGATTGCACCACTACACTCTAGCTTGGAGCAAAAGAGACTCTTTAAAAAAGAAGACCCCCCTCCCACACACAGATATTTAGCATCCTCCATAACTGTGCTTAATTTAATTTCTGCAGCATAAGCCTGTGCTTTTGGTTCCCCTACAGGTGGCACAAGGGAAGATACCAAAGGCAGAGTGCTGCTCCCATTGTTTTTCCAGCTGGTGCTTTAGAGTTCTGAGGCCTCTCCTACCAGCACTGCTCCTCCCCACATCACACCCAGGCACTCATGCAGGCAGCCACCCCTGTGGTTTGAAATAGTCTTTATTTTGTAAACATCTGTTTAAAGTAGATGAACCCTGCTCACGATTCATATAATGGACCCAAGACACAGTACACAGGTCACCCGTCACAGGGAGATGGAGGGGGCTCGGGTGCAAGTGGCAGACCTAGGGGTGGGCTGAGTCTCCAGGCAGCAGGTGCCAAGTAAAGAGGCAGAAGAGCCTGCTCAATGGCCTGGGCCTCAAGCCACAGCCCAGACCACACCCTGGACTGCAGGAGTTTAGGGGCAACAGGCTGACTCTGGCACCTGGTGAGCATGGCTACAGCCTATAGTCCCAAGTCTCCTTCTGCTCCCATTCCCTTCCCCAGCTGCAGACTGGGCTAAGCAGCCCACAGAACCAGATTCCTTGTTTTCCCTTCCAGAACCCTCAGGGTACAGTAAAAATATAGTCCCTCTGTCCTGAGGGAGATAGGAGAGAAAGATGATCCACTAGATTGTCTGGGAGCCAGTGCATCCTACTTCTTTCCTGACTGAGGGCAGGCATCCCCACCCCATGTGAGGCTAAAAGGTGTTGATACCCAAGAGCAGGGGTCCTCAAACTTTTTAAACAGGGGGCCAGTTCACTGTCCCTCAGACTGTTGGAGGGCCAGACACCGGGCCCTGGCATGAGTTGGCTGCTAAGCAGGACAGGCAGCGGCAGCAAAAACACCTGGTGGGCTGGATAAATGTCCTTGGTGGCCTGCATGTGGCCCATGGGCTGTGTTTTGAGGACGGCTGCCCAAGAGGCCAGTCCTCATGGAAGCAGCCCGGCCATAGTCACGGCCCCACCCTAAAGAGCCAGCTCTTTCTCAACAGGCAATGACTAATAACCACTCCGGCTCTTTTCCTTCCTCTATCCGACCTAGCCCGTTCCTAAATCCTGAACCACCCTCTCCTGCTGGCTGTGTCCTGGTTTGATAAGAGTCAGGGGGAATGGTTTGGTGGTTTTATTTCAACCTTATTTGAAGCAGTAAGGAAGCAGGGCTCTTACCCTTCACATGTGTGCCCTGGACTTGAGTTATTAGTGGGTGAATGCCCAATGCCCAGTTCTGTGTTTTGGCTCCAGCCCAAGCCACATAACATGGCTAATGTGTGGAGGAAGAACAACCCTCTGACCTAGACCTTTGGTACCTTGGGAAGGGGAAACAGAACCCTCATAGGCTGGTAAACTACTCGTTTCTTTTGAAGAGGCTCCTTCAAGCTACTCTTGGGCCACATGGAGTTAAAGACACTTCTGGAACACAGAGTGCTGGAGGAGGGAGTCCTCTTCCCTCCACTTGCAGCCACAGTGTGTCTGGAAAACCCTCAAGCCTAAATTAGGAGCTGGAGGGCTAGAGGGCAGGAGGGGCGCTTGTCTTGAAGGCTGACGGGAACAGCACCTAGCACTTCTTCCCATGAAGACACTGTCTTTCTCCCACAAACTGGACCTCAGGAGAACCTTGAGAGCTGGAGGCTGAGCTCAGTCCTCTGCCAGAACATGTGGGGAAATGCTCTTTTTACCCAGGAAATGGGAGATAGGGCCCAGGAAGTCCTGCTGCAGCTATTTTCCCCTCTGCTCTGCAAAATGCCATCCCTGGCCAGCACTCCCTTGCTCTTAACCTGACACTTCCAGCTAGTCCTTCTTCCCAAATGCTCTCTCCCCGGAGTGCAGGGTAGACGTTACAGTGCCACTGTCCCCAGGGCTCTCCCTGCCTGTATTCACAGGCCTTGGTTCACATCTTCAAATTCAGGAGCCCAGATGGAGAGAAATTGTGTATATGCTGCATGGGAGGTAGAGAATGGAGGTGACTTTTTCTCCCTGCCACCCCCCTCATCGCTTATTTTCTGTCTCCAAAGCACCTGCCTCTGAGCTCAGCTCCCCACTGAGGCAGGCAGGAAGCCAAGCAAGGCCAGAGCTCAGGCAAAGGGAGCAAGGAGAGGTAGGACAGCCCCAGGCTGAGGACCCCCAGGCTGGCATCTCCCTCCTACCTTGATGTTTTGCTTCTCCAGGTCACTGGGGAGGCTGGCTCATGGCAGGAGAGGGACAGTGGAGAGAAAAGGAGGAAGCAGCACCCTGTAGCCTTTGGGCCACCCATGGAATAGGGTGGGGGCGCTCGCTGGAGCAGTGGATGGCATGTCCCCATGAGCCTGGGTCCATTCCCTTGGATAGGGTCGGGAGGGCAGAAAGCAAGCTCCACCCCCTGCGTACCCCCTCACTCCAGCACACGTCAGGACACACAAGACAGGGGTGTGAGGGGCTTTGATGCCAAACACACTGGAGGGGACGGGGCCAGAGAAGAGAGAACAAGCAGAGGGAGACAATGCAGGAGCCTCGCAGCGGCCTCAGCTCTAGCCCTGGCCACTGTCTGGGGAGCTCGGGCGGCAAGATGGTGCCCACAGCAGGTTTTGGGGTCAGAGCAGGCCTGTGGCTGGGCAACAAGCTGAAGGAGACCTTTCCAGGGCAGAGGGAAGAGGCTGCTCGGGGATGACAGCAGAGCTGCTCTTGGGACCAGGCAGGGAAGTGGCAGCTACTGGCATTCCACAGGGTCATCAGATGGGAGGGCCTCAGCAGGGCGGAGCCAGGCTCCCTGTCTGCCCATAGGCCTCCTGAGGGACGAGGGTGCTGTGTGGGGTGCCCCACGTAGGACTCAGCACCAGCAGGTTTTCGAAGAGTTCGCTGGACCCTCGGGTTTGCCCTCCTCCTCCTCCAGCTCTGCCAATGTCAGCTCGTTGCTGGCACGTGTCTGGAGTCCTTCCAACTCCTTCCTGTGGGCCTGCAGCACCAGCTCTGTCAGCCTCGTGAACGACTGGAAACCAAGGGCATGGGTTAGTCCGGCATCCTCTCTTCTGCTCCCAGCCACTGGCCTTGGCTGAGGTCTCATCTGGGGACCTCACCTTACACCTCCCCACCCTGTGGGATTCAGCCAGCAGGGACAGGCAGCTGGCTGCAGAGCTCTCACCTCTTTAATGTTGAGGTTGGTGCAGGCACTTGTTTCATAAAAATCCATGCCGTACTCCTTAGCCAGCTGCAAGAGAAGGACATTGCTGAAGGAGAGTTAGGGAAGGACGGTGGCCACCTGGCCAGTCTGCCACTGTACTCGTACACCACGCATGTTGTGACAGTACCTCAGAGCAGACTTCTCAGACAGCACTAGGAGCTCTGAGACATAGGCTGGCAGAGGTGGGGGCCAATGCCCCACAAATACACCTCCTGATCTGCCCACCTCCCAGCACACACAGGTATGACATAAGGAGACAAAAATGCAGAGATATTGTGGGAGCATGGGCTCTGGAGTCCAACAGCCCTACACTGGAACACCAGTGCTGCATTACTGGATATGTTACTTAGTCTAAGCCCTGGCTTTGTCTTCCAGTAAAGGGGCCTGAGATGTCTAGCATCTGAGGTTGTGGAATGATTAAGTGGGGTGGCACGCCCAAAAGTCCTCGCTTAGCACAATGCCACACATGCAGTACTCAATAAATGCTATCAGTCAAGTAGGCTTCGCCTCCACTTTCAAATTTGTCAATGATTCTGTATTATTTTTTATACCAAAAAAATCAATGTTATTTTAAGTGCTAATGGAAAGCTATTGACTGAAGAGACAGAGAAAAACTCTTAAGGCCACAGAGTGAGTGACTTGCCTGAGAAACACAGAGTGAGTGAGTGACTTGTCTGAGAAACAGAGTGATTGAGTGACTTGCCTGAGAAATAGCTATCTTTCCTTCTGTGCTCTGGGAGGACAGTCTCCCTGAAGACCTGGCCACTACCCCAGCCCCATCCTCTTACCCTCTGTGCCCCCAGGGCACTTCCTGAATTTTTCTTCTTGCCTCTTTCCAGCACAAGGAGGGGTGGGGTGGGATGGGAGATCTATTTCCTGACTGGGAAACGGCAGCTGTGCCAGGATGCTGTTAGAGAAGCAAGCACCTTGACGCCCTTCCTCCTCGTCACTTACACAGGGTAGTTACTCAGAGTCTCACTCTGTCACCCTGGGTAGAGTGCTGGGGCATCATAGCTCACAGCAACCTCAAACTTTTGGGGTTAAGTGATCTTCCTGCCTCAGCCTCCAAACAGCTGAAACTATAGGCACCTGCCACAACGCCCAGCTAAGTTTTTCTATTTTTATTAGAGATGGGGTCTCACTTTTGCTCAGGCTAGTCTTAAACTCCTGAGCTAGAGCAATCCACCTACCTCAGCATCTCAGAATATTAGGATTATAGGTATGAGCCACTATACCTAGCTTGGATGATCTCTTAAGCAGAGGGCAATTCTGCTTTTGGGAACTTGGACCAGGGAGAGTTACTGTCCAAGTGGTCTTTGTTGGTGGGGGTATCCCAGTCACTGTCCTGAAGGACAAAGAGGATAACCTTTGAATATGGCCACACCCCTAGTCCTCAGGATGCAAGAACACGTGGGAGGACTCATTCACTAGTGGCAAACACTTTCACACTCCTGGGTCCCCACACTCAGGACTGGCCCTAGACATGCAGCAGAGGACCTGGGGTGGACTTACCTGCTGCCCTTGCTCTCTCCCCACCTGCCGTTTCTGCTCCTCATCGGCCTTATTCCCTATAAGAATCTTTTGGACACCTTCTGGTGCATACTGGGGAAAAAGGATGTGCAGAACCGCCATGAGTCTCACCCTTCCCTCCAATCCCCCCACACTGTCTGCACTCCAAACCACCATCAAGTTTAAGATGCTAGTGGCAGGGTGGGTTGACTAGATGTAAGGCTCCCCTAAGTGCCATGGCTGACCCCATGGAGGTCACTAGGATAGCTTAGAGCAGCTTTAGTTAACACTGGTGCTTCCTTGGGTTGGACAATTAGTATCTGAGCTGGATGGAAAGGACACTGGACTTGAGTCCAGGCCTTATTCTATAGATGAGGAATTGGGGACCTAGAGAGTTTAAATGGCTTGTCCAAGGTTCCACAGCTATCGGGTAGAGTCAGGACTAGAACTGCAATCACACAACTCTACTGTGCCCGCAACTCAACTCTTTCAGGACAGAAGCTGCTCATAGGACCCACTTGGAACTAACTCATTTCCGAGGAAAACACAGCCTTGGAGGCCTGGTGGGCAGCTCAGCTTCTTCCCCAGGTCTTACCCAGAGGTCTTCATCCAGGGCTGTGGAAGGCAAGGATTTCTAGAGGGATCCACTCACCAGCCCCCTCTGAGGCACCCTTCCCCATACCCTGTCAGGGAGGCGGCATCTCCTACCTCATCTACATCACTGACCCACTTCATGATGTGCTGGTAAGAACGCTCGCTGCTAATATCGTAGACTAAAAATATTCCCTGAGAGAGAAAAAAAGAGAGACAGGGAAGTGGGTGCACATGGACAGAGTGCATAGTCATGGAACCAGAAAGGGCCATGGTGCCTTACAGGTCAGGTCCCACTCTCCCTTCTCAGCATCTGGAAACGTCTCCTCTCCCAGAACCCCGCCACTGCTCCTTCCTAGGCCCATCACAGAACTCCCTGGGGTGGGAGGTACCATATGCCCTGCCTTGGACCTTTGGCCCAGGGTGGAGGTGGAGGTGGGGGCCTGCCCACAGTAAGTGTTCTGTGATGAGCAGTGAACACTTGAAAGATGGCCCTGAGGTCCCTCCCTGCCGGCCATCTGAGGGGCCCATTTAGGGGCTCAGTGGTACAAAAATGTCAAACACCCAGAGCTAGGAGTGTGGGGGGCAGCTTCCCACTTCCAAATCCCCCAAATGGTGGCTCACCTGGGCCCGTCGATAGTACTGCTTTGTGATGGTCTGATAGCGCTCCTGCCCCGCTGTGTCCCTATAGTACAAAGCCAGTCTCTCAGAGGAACAGGGACCATGGAAGCATGTGGGGAAGGGAGGAGCAGGGTAAAAAATCAGGGGTGCTTTATCCCTAAAGGGATGAAGATACACTTGACTGTGCAGTCAGAGGCCTGGTCATCTGTACTGGTGCTGATGAGGTCTGGAAGGCCTTGGCCCCTCTGGACAAACATCTTTCTGACAGATAGACACCAAGGCCACAACCATTAACTCAGCCTCAGATAGCCCTCTCTAGAATTGGGCCACTGTGCCGAGATTTAGTATAGCAGGGGTGCTGCTATACCCCTGCCCCATGGAACCTCTGAAGGCAGTGCCCGTACTATTCTAGAATGGGCAGACAGCTACAGATACAGGCAAAGGCAGGTCCACCAAGGCCTGCAGGCCACAGAACCACAGTGGCACCCTGTGGCTACTTGTGGAAACTGCGCCATGCTGTGCGGAAGCACTCTCACAGGGTCCCACCCTAAATGAGGGGGTGTAGCTTAAGGTGACCAGATTTTAACATTGGTAAAGCGGGACACCATGGGAGGGGGGGCTGACAACAATGCAAACTTTGATAAGCAGTTCTCAACAATTATTTATTATTAAAGTTTAACATTATAAAATTAACAAAAATAATATAAAACGCATATCCTGGTGAAACAGCCACATGGCAGCTGAAAACCGTATATTCCCTTCCTGTTCTCCCGTGTTCCCTAGCTTGTCGTGCATTCTTTTCCAAAAACCGGGGCTTTTTTAAAACGCCGCAGGACACGGGACAAATTGTTAAAAATCGGGACTGTCCTGCTAAAAGCGGGCTGGTCACCTTACTCTGGGTGGGGGGTGGGGGGGGCCTACTTGGTTGTTCCAGACAATTTGGCTCCTTCTGAGCTAACTGTCCTTGCCTGGAAGCAAGGGAGGGAGCCAGTCTCCTTCAGATACCTTGCCCAGGAGGGGAGTAGGGAGTTTACCTTAGCCTTTTCATTTCCAAATGAAGTTATATTAACCTCTTCATTCTCAAATGGAGTTACATTAACCTTTTCAGCAGCTGTATATTTCCTCCCATTCTCCCGCTGTTCCCTAGCTTGTCATTCATTCTTTCCAAAAATTGGGACTTTTTTTTTTTTTT